CCCACCAGTCACCACGGCTCTGATGCTGGTGAGTCACACTTTGTCTCAGAGTCTGTTTTTTTAAAATTATCACCTGAAGGATATGTTTTCCATTATTTGTAGAGAGTGAGCGGATGGGAGGGAGGGGGAGCGAGAGAAACATCGATGTGAGAGCCACATCGATTGGCTGCCTCCCAAATGCTTGCAGTGGGGCTGGGGAACCGGCAACCCAGGTACGTGCCGTTGACTGGAAATTGAACCCGAGACCAGCTCAACGCTCTAACCTCCGAGCAACTGGCGAGGGCTGAAAGTTTCATTATTAAAAAATGCTGTACAATGAAAAATTCCCAACACATGCAGAATCTGAGAAACTAGTATGCGTCACCTCCAACAGTATCGGCTGTATCCCCACCAGATCTTCTCCAGCCTGCGCTACCATTTCCTCGTATCATTTCACCCGTGGTTTCCTTATGTATATCTGAAAAACTAGAGTCTTTCTGAAAAAACAAACTCAATGTTATCCCACCTAAAAATCACTAATATCATCAAACATCTAGCCAATGTGAAAATCTCCCCAATTTCATGCTGTTTTTTAATAGTTTGTTTAGATCAGCTGCTTGCGTGGCAGCGGGGACTCACGCCTCCTTTGTCTAGTTGCTGCCCCCGTCCCACCGGTTTTTGATGGTTTTGTTGACGTGGCCCTGAGCTTTCCCCGGAGTTCCCCTCAGCCTGCGCTTGGGTTTTGCATCCCAGAGGCGCTCCCACTTTGAATATAAACCCCTTTGCATTTTGAATTCCCAGAGAGAAATTTGTCCCAAAATTAAATTTCCTTGCAAGTTGAAGTCCAGAGAAATTAAACTCCAAAATCAAGTTTTCTTGTCATTGTGAATTAAAACTCGAGGTCCAAAATTCTCAAGTCAGAGTCTAAAAAAGTTTCTTGCAGTTTCTTATACAGCGGAGTCTCCATCAAAAGTGTCCCTGCCTGAGTGTCCCCCTTCCGGGTGTCCCTGCAGCCGGGCATCCCCCTTCCAGGGGTCCCTGCAGCGGGGCGTCCCATCCCCCCCGCCCCCGATGGGCAGGCCATTCCTTAATGCAGTGGTTCTCAACCTTCTGGCCCTTTAAATACAGTTCCTCATGTTGTGACCCAACCGTAAAATTATTTTTGTTGCTACTTCATAACTGTCATGTTGCTACTGTTCTGAATCGTCATGTAAATATCTGATCTGCAGGATGTATTTAGGTAACCCCTGTGAAAGGGTCGTTCGACTGCCAAAGGATCGCGACCCACAGGTTGAGAACCGCTGCCTTACACTAGGATTTGCTCTTGGTGGTGTACATTCTACATTTTGACAGATGTTTAACATCATACACCTACTGTGACAGCACCACAGGGAATAATGTCACCGCCCTGAGAGGTGCGCCTAGAAGCTGTTCCCCTCTGGTCCTCACTCCATTTCCCTCGGGCCCAATACCCCACCCCCCCGGTCCCGTGTTGTGTCCTCCCCCCAGTGCTGTGTCCCTGTCCGGACCCATTTTGTCCTCCCACCGAGAGCACTGTCCTGGTTTTGAGGGGAGCAGAGGGGACTTTACTGGGTGGGCACCCACAGGGCTGACGTGGCTGGGGGTGGGGTAGGACCGCAGCCTGGCCCAGGCCGCATGGGTTGCTGGGTAAACATTCGCCCCCTCCTCCCGGAGTTAGTATTCTGCTCATCGGGGGGCTTGTAAAGATGGTTACATTATTGATGGGAAGGGGGAATGTTGTTTTGAGTGTGGTCCCAGCATGGCTGTTCCCTGCACCTCGACTAATGGCGATTTCAGTGGCATTTTTGTCGATTTAGGATGAATGATGACGCCATGTGGGGACCATGAAGGCGGCGCCCACCTCTTAGTATGAAGCCTGATAGTCCAGAGTGGCCCTCGCAGGGGCCTGCTCCCCGTGGGGCTGCTGCCTTAGATCCGGGGTGTGGGGGGAAGGATGGCGTGTGCTGAGCTCTGCGTGTGAGTGACGTGCAGCTTTGACAGGAGATGCTGGCTGACTTCTCCCTGACCCCTGAGCCTGAGCGTGACTCCTGCAGCCGTGGGGCCCTGTCGCCCCCCGTGGCCCGATCCCCAGGACTCGGGGAAGCATCAGTCTTCGTTTGGGAGGAGTTTGTTGAACGTGTTGGAAAGCAGTGTAGCCTTCGCGTGTTAATTTGAACTTTGATGACGTCTTTGATTAACGTGTTTATTAAACTGTAGCTGTGACGGAAGCAGGAACTAGCATGACCAGAGTGGGAACCTCTTCACAGTGTGAGGATGAGAAATGACCCCTTGCATTTGGACTCACTTGGGGCCTCTCGGAACAGGGCCTCCGGGCTTCCAGCTGAGGTACCTGGTGGACCCCGGGTTCCTGAGGCCCGGCGAGCGGCGCTGGTTCACCCGCTACTTGGCCGTGCAGAGCCTGCAGGTGGACGTCTGGGACGGAGACTCCTTGCTGCTCATCGGCTCGGCTGCCGTGCACCTGAAGGTAGGGGCGCCCCGGGCCGGGCGCTGTTGAGGGGCGGGGTCCTGACAGGCCATCGGTTCCTTGTTCACAAGTTAAAAACGCCCCCGAGCTCTCTCCTTCCCGGGAGACGTTTTCACGGGGCTGGGTCCCTGAGGCTGGGTCCCCTGGTCAGTTCTTCGTGCCTCCCACGGGCTGACCAGCCAGGTGGTGTCACCTGCTCCTTTGATGGGAGACCTCAGTCCCCGGACAGCCCAGGCGGCCTGGTTCCGGTGCCGGCCCGGGGGCTGGCTTCAGTGGGCAGGGAGGGGCCTGCGCCGGGTTCAGGATCCTGCTTTTAGAGTTCAGCGGGACTTACAGTGGAATCCTTTCTCTGGGGACTTTCCATCCCCCATACACTGAGACCTAAGTCTGTGTGTTCATCCCTCCGAGTCGGGGGGGGGGGGGGGGGGAACGCAGGAGTCCCAAGGCTGGGGCACAGTCCCCCCACCCTTCCATCTGTGTGTGAGACGCGCTAGCCAGAGTGAGGCAGCCTTCCTGAGGCCTCACAGGGAGAGGCCCGCTGGGCCAGAGGTGACCTGTGACCCCATCATCCCTGGGGCCTCACTGCCGTCGGCTCAGGCAGAGGAGCCGAGTTGGGACGGTCCTGACCGTGTGGGCCTCCCTCGCCTGCTTGGACCATGGCCTCTGGAGGTCCTGCCATCGGCTCCAGCCGCCAGGCCTCCTCCGACCCCGCGTCCCGTCCTGCGGCCCCCGGCCTGGCGTGTTCCTTGGCCCATCCTGCCTGTAGCCCCGTCTTGGTTCTGAAAAGTCTGATGTAGAGATGGGGTTTGCTCGGTGTCCTGCTGCTCCATTCCCTCTCTCCCCATGGAGGGGGCTCCCGAGGGCGGCTCCCGGGTGTTGACGTGGTGGGTGAATTTGTGGAGAAGCCTGGCCGGCATTGGGCTCGGGTTCCAGGTCGGATCTGCTGGGCGGTGACGTGCCTTCTCCCCGGCAGCACCTCCTCCGCCAGGGCCGCCCGGCCGTGCAGGTCTCCCACGAGCTCGAGGTCCTGGCCACCGAATACGAACAGGACGCGATGGTGCTGAGTGGAGACGTGACTGCGTCTGGCAGCGTCAGGCCGATCGGCGTCCACACGGTGGTGAAGGGCCTGCTGCACCTGACCTTGGCCAACGTGGGTAAGAGTCCCAACGCTTCGTGTGGCTTCTCGTCCTTTCCTGGCAGCCACTCACCTTCCCTGGCAGCCACTTGCCTTCTCAGCTGGAGCATGAGCTCCGCAGGCGGTGGCACAAATTGTGGGCATCGTATAGTAGGAGTTAGCAAAGCTGTTATTAGTTTGACCACTGAGCCTGCCCTTGTGCCCTGGGCCTGCCCTGCCCTTGTTGGGGTGATGGCCGGGGAGCCTTGGCGCCTGCCTTTGACCACCAGGCCTGCCCTGGGCCAGTTGTTTGTGTTCCTGATTTCTGACATGATTCGGGCGGTTAGTCCCCGGCCTGGCCCTCATTTGTTCGCGGTGCTGTCCCGGGGCCGCTGTGACAGTCCTCAACTACAGTGACCAGGAGAGCTTTCCCGTCTCAGAGGAGGGAGAGAAAAGTTCCTGGACATGTGTAACTTGTGGGCAGGGCCCGAGAAGCACCCCTTTAGGGCCCAGCCTTGACCTTTGCCCCGTGGTGCCCTGTGCCCCGAGAGTGGCTGGGCAGGGAGCCTGAGCCTCGGTCCCCCCTCCACCCGCAGGGAGTCTGGCCTGGGGGTGGTCTTCTGGGTGTGACGGAGGCCCCTGACCGGGGAAGAGGTGGCCTGGGCAGAGGGCCGGTGGCCAGCCCACTCCGCCGCCCTGGAGGGCCTGTAGCAGGACCGGGTTCTGGGCAGAGGTGGAAGCTGGGCGACACCATGCCGGTAGAGGTTGTGGAGCGGTGTCTGCCCGGAGGACTCAAGCCTCTGTTGCTGCATCGGGAATTTTCCACTCAGAACCCGGCCTGAGCGTGAGGCTCCGCCCAGGGGCCCATCCGCAGCGTCAGCACCGGCGTCAGCACAGCCGCGAGCCGGCAGCGGCAGGTGCACGCTCATTAAGGCGCCCGGTTTCTGCCGCGTGTTTACAAATGCAGCATCCAGGGCAGCTGGGAAATAGACAATGTGGAAGCAGCAAAACTCAATTAGGTTCTGGAGAAGTAAACGAGCCACATGTGAGCAGCAGACGGGGCTCGGCAGCGCGCGGGCCGGGGAGCTGCAGTCCGCTGCCAGCACTGTGCGGGTTATTTCTCCATTTAATCACGAGCCCACAATGTGCACGACTCCGGGTGCTACAATCTTATCTCCAGAAGAAAGATTAGCTCCATTACGTGTTATCTTCAATTGTCATTTTCATGCTTTGCCTGCGAGGGAGAGATAAGCTCATGGGAGAGAGTCGGAGAGACCTGCTCGCGAGGCGCTACGCAGACGCGCACGGAGCGGTTAACAAAGGACGAGCGCGCGTGCCGCACACCGTACCTGCGTGGCCGCGCGGCGGTTTCCTGTGTATTCATTGTAGCTTTTATTTCTGTATAAACGGCTGTTCTGCACCAGGCAGCAGGCACAGGCCCGCAGATGGGGTGATGGCCGGGGAGCCTCCCCGGTGACCGCAGGGTCCCCTGCCCGGCTCGGCCTCGCCCGGGCAGCGCTAAGCCTCCTGCGCTTAGACCGCACGGGTGCGCGGTCTCCGTGGA